TACTTGATTTTCTTAGCAAGGACTTACTTACTTACTTTGCCTTTTACTTGCAAAAAGCGCAAGAACGTTGGACAAAGCTTGCGAGGATACTTGACCAAGTACTTGCATGCAAGTGCATTCGCTAGGGTAGTCTATTTAAAGCTGTTGAGCATCATTCATTTCTTTATGATTATTTATCCATTATTATAACATCACCGTTGCACTTAAAATATAGTGAGATGGTCAAGCAGCTAGAGAAAAAAGAGCAAGAAATATTAATAACTATCGACATATTGTCGAATGTCACAACAACCAATCAATGCAACAAAGACAGAATTTATGATATATTTTATTCAGGTTCGGCGATCATCGATTATTCTTAAATTAGAAAATGAAATACTGAAGCAGATGAAAGGCTTCAAATACCTCGGCTACGTATTTACAGATGAATTATAGTGGCAACTGATGGTGAATAAAAGTTTAAAATCAATTAATGGCCAGATGCTATAATTGACAGAATTAATTAAATTTACGTCAAGGAGTCTGTTATACATTTATTTATCCTCATTTCTCATGGGACATTTGCAATTTTTTTGTATCTTCTTTACATATTACAAGAACGAGCGGCAAGAAAATACAATTTCATTGTGAAGAAAGTTTATGGCGTTACATTGTTTTTATCATATACAATGTTTGCATTAATAACAGTACAAAACTTCTTTGATCGGCTGAATAAACACTGGATGAAGTTATTTCAGTTTATTGTTATGGGATAATGCATCTACAGTCTGACAAAATTACATTACTTAAGATTTTCTTATGAACGCTAACAAAGCAACTGGTTTGTGACCAAATTCAAAAACAAAGGAAAAACAGAAACTGATTTTTCTATCAGCCATTGATCTTTGGACTCAGTTTTACAGAAGTGGAACATTCTATCAGAGAAGATCCTAATCGAGATAGAAGACTAGAGACATTCATCGCTCACCCCATAGCACTAATATAATCCGATAATTTACTGATTATTCATGAACACTCTACTTTGTACTATTTAATATGTAAATAGTTATTCCTAACACATTAGCGCTGTATAGTGGACGTTCAATAAGTTGTGGATATAGAGTAGGAATGGTTATATTTCCATGATTATGGTTCACGAAGGTTCTACTTTTAGGTAGACACAAAAAAATAAACAGTATTTTTCTCAAGTAATAGTAATCTCAGGATCATTTACTCGGCTTTGAGTTTTTAGACTTTGTTAAATATAAGTGAGACATGTACTTTATAATCGACTGGTTGGATTGGCTTAGCATTTACATGTTGAATTGAACTGTGGACTTTTGTTAATTATCTAGAATTCTGCTTTTCGATAATGATGTCGATAAAAATGTTTTATTATAGAAAAACAAAATTACAGAACACGGCAGACACAATTTCTTTTACAGAAAAAAAAATAAAAATTGTAGTTGAATTGTCAAAATTTCAGTTTGCAGTTTCTTGATTTTGTTGAGCAGACTAACGAATTCGAATAAATATGTTATCATTTTGATCTGACAGAAGAAAATAACCAAACAGACGGACAGACAAATTACCAGAAATATTGAGTATAAAAAAAGAAAATAGTTCATTTGATCTATCGATTTTTTATCATCTTGGTGAAAAAAAATCCATTAAATCCTCCAAAAAGAACCCTTTGTATCAAATAGCTTATGAGAATGTCTGCATATTATCAGATAGACAAGTAGGAAAAACAAGAGATTCTATATTTTAGATAACTTTTTCATAATTATTTAGAAATTTTATAACCCATGCCACTTTTGTAGACAATATTTTATAGATAAAATAAGCGGATACTGAACATAATCCCCCGGATAGTACATCTAAAACATAATGATGTCTACTGTAAACGGCTGAAAACCATATACCTAATGTCAATAACACAAAAAGTATTTGTAACCATAATTTTTTACTTAAATTTCCATATAGTACACATAATACCGGATAGGCAGCATGTAATGATGGTATGGCAGCAAATACATTGGCATTCTTTGCATACATACCAGAAAATATCTTCAGACCTGTGATTTGTTCGAAATATATGAAACCCGCAGGATTTCCGCTAACGTTTGTCTTTATTTGAGAACCATATAATTCAACATACCACGGAGGTCTTAAAAACAAAGAATAACACTGAAAACGATTTGAACTAAGCAACAAACAGAACAGACCAGGAAATCATACTTTCAGTCAAGCCGTATCACTCTTTGATTTCAGGACTATCATATCTATCTCTCAGCAGTTATTATATACTCTAAACTTCATCGTCGATTCAGACCTATCAAACATAGTCCATTTCCACTCTATATCTAGCTTCTAGCTACAGAGCGTCAAATAGAAAAAAAAATGTTAGAAGCACCTTCATCGGTGATAGTAAAGACTACTTACGCTGTCGGTATGATATAGTAAATGATAAATCCTATAAGATTTGTCAATAGAAATGTGATAGCAAAATCTAAACCATCACGTTTACGTTTATTACGGTATAAATAAAAACTGTATAATAGTGGTATTGGTATCCAGTGAAGATATAAAACGCCTGTCAATACGTCTAATATCCCGATGTGATGAATACGAAAATATTCATTGAGTGTCAATAATTTTTTATTACTATAAACACCAAACAATTTTTTTTCAATATTATAAATATCTTCCGTGTGGATATTCGATACTGAATAATTTGGTACGACTCTCAGTGAATCATATACTAATAAATAAATCATATAGGGAAGGAATGCCAATACGAATCGACGCGTTTTATCATTAAAAAGATAGAGTACAAGCATTAAAAAATAAACCACAATATGTAAAATGGTGTAACCGACAATAAAAACGAACCAAGCGAAATAGAATATACTAGGTATTAATAGCGAAATAGCATGCTCTTTTATAAAACGTTTAATTGGTGAAAGCGGTGGTAATGACGTTACTGGTAACAATAAAGATACATCGGTGGTGCTATTTGTTAACGAGTTGGGTGTCTCTGATACAAATGGTTTGGGAAGAGTGATAACAACATCTTCGTTATCATTATATGATATGGAACCATTTGTATATTTTCGGCCAATTGTTTGATACTGGTTTGAATAATCATTAACTGTATTTACGTTATGAATATCTGATTTCAATGCCGAATTATAAGACGAATCTTCTCCGTAATTTTCATATGTTGCTATGGAACCATTTTGTGGTTGATGATGATGATACAACGTGGCTGTTGTATAATGAGTGTGATGTTTTGGATTTTTATCACGAAATGGTGATGTTAACGATAATAGTACAGATTCTGACCATGTTTTTATTGTTTGGGAGCGTTCTTTATCATAATAATCATCATCCGCACGCAAAATGCGATCATTTTTTGTCAATTCTGCTGTTGTATGGCCGTTGTGACCATTGGTATTTGATAATGTTGGGGTTACCTGAGGACCTTCAACATCAAGAAAACATACACATGAAACCATATTATTTTGCAGAAACTCAAGATCATTAATATGATTTTCCAAACATCTTATCTGGGTGCGAGTCGCGATCTAGATGAAATCACGGTGTAATAGCGCGGTCATATTCCAGACGCGAAGTTGGGGCGTGATCTTACAATATTCGCTATTAATGCATACATAGCTCGTATTATACTCGCACTGCAAAAGAAGGTGCCCTTTGGTGAGGTTTAGGACACTTGAAAGTGACCTGTTTTTGTTTTCACGTTGTCTGTGGCGCACTTAGGGCACTTTCATGTGCCCTAAACCTCACCAAAGGGCACTTTTTTTTCGCAGTGCACAAATCGGTATA